CCGGTGTCTCTAGCTTCACGTTTCTGACTATAGAGTCTCCAATTACCAGAGTTGTTTTCTCAGCAGGTGTGTCGCTGAGTGGGGAAAATCGATTTGAAACGTGAACAGGCAGGTGATGCTCCGTGGACATTCGTTTGGAGCTACGACTCTTGCGAACTGTCACCCAGCCACCTGTCTGAGATCCCGGCTGCTCGGGAAGCTGTAGATAACGCTGCTGCACTGGTGTTTTGAGGTTTCATGAAGAGGGAGCTCATTTGAAATGTGTTACATGCTGGTGGGCTGTTGGAAGAACCCTGATCTGTAAAAGCATCCACACAACACTGGCACACGATCTTGTGTATGATCATGTAAATCTGTTTCATTTCTGTTCCGTCAGAGTATATTAAACTAGCACAGCTCTGTGCATTTTTGTAGACAAGATGTGTTGCTTGAGACATTGAAACAATGTAATAAAATGGCAGAAATATAACCAGTGTGACTCCTCTGTGGTGACCCCAGCTACACCCTAAAGACAGCACGTGAACACAGTTGTCTGTTTTCCCTCTTAATACCTAACACAACTGCTTCCTAAATAATAGCCGACAATTACACTAAGGTTGGCCATTAGACACAGTCGAGTAAGTGAGCAGTAAGACATGTTTAACAAGCAACTTATTCATAAGTACAGCATGAGATCAGATACCTTGAACAACTCTTGTGTGATCACGTGATTAATCGCATCACCTGTATGTTTAGAGCATGACCAACAACTGCTTATCCTGCTTCTGCCACATTGGTTGTTTAAAATAGATATAGGTCATTCTGCTGGTAGATGAGGAAGCCTGCATCATATTATAAAAAGAAGTATTACAATCCTGTGTGTCAACAATGAAGATTGATGGAAAATAACTGCAAACAAAACAAAACTTTGTTCTTGTTTATTGACCCCTAAATAACTTTAAACAGGGGTGTAGCCTTCTTATATGGCCCACAACAAACATTTAACAAAAATAATAAATTAAATTAAACTGAAAAAGTGTAAAAAAGGTGTACTGAGACTTGCATGCAGCACATACATGTACAAGGACTCTGCTGCTGCTGCCGCCTCTGCTCAAAGTGATCAGTCCCTCAGGCAGGGTTCCCTGGGGATCTGTGTCAGAGCCATATGCTCATCTCTGCCGTTGAATCTTTCTCACACCAACTGTTGCATTTCTCTGACCTTTAGCCTCAGAATTCATATACACAGTCACAAACCCACATCTGACGCATTAAAATGTCCTCCCTCCTGTCACCTTCCCTGCTAAAACTAAGTCAGATCATGTGGTCCCCTGTCATCTTTCCTTTTCAGTTGGCAGACTGTGGTGATATGCAGAGCTGTGATAGAGGGAAGTATTCCCACAGTCATATGCATATACACAGCCAGTGGTTTTGTCAGACCAGATTGATGAGAGTTTTAGCTGCAGTGAAGCAGTTTCAAGCACTTTGGCCTGTCACAATGCAAAGCCTCACACCTCACTTTGAACATATTATGGAGGTTTGACCAGTGTAGGGGTGTTAGTAAGTGTTTTTTTCTTTTTGTTTTCAAAGTGAAACAATCAAGTCAGACAAATTTCAAAATAATTTGGTCAGGTGACTGATGTACAGACTCTGGGATGGATTTAAAATCCTGTTCAAAAATCAAGATGGCCGCTCACAGTAGAATGAACCCTGATTATGAGGTAAGTGAGTGTTAACATGTAATGTGGGATGTAGTGTTTCAGGATTATAGGATGTACTAATGTGGAAAAAATCATAATGTCAGTGATTACTGTATCCATAGTATGACACCAGGTTACAGTATGTTGCCCTTAGTCTACTTTTATTTATTACTGTATCCATAGTATGACACCAGGATACAGTATGTTGCCCTGGATTGTGAAGGCCTTGCTTGATTTTCACATTGAACTAGACATACTTTGGTTTAAGTAAGACCTAAATACAAGTTCTCACTGGTCTTTGCTCCTAATTCCCCTGCATCCCTGATGTCTGGGTGTCTTGATGATTGCCTGCCAAACGTCATGAGGACCAGTATTACCCTGTGGGGACTCAGCCTCCGGTCTCCCCCATAGCGTGATGACGTGGTTTAATGCTAAGATAAGGGTTAGGCAAGTTGTGGTTAGTGTTAGGTCAAGTCTGTGTAAAGTCTCCACGAGTTATGAAAACAAGTGTGTGCGTGTGTGTGCGCTGGTTGGTCCCTTTGAAGAATCTGAGCCAGGCTGATCCATCTGTCAAATGGTCCCCGGCAGCTTTGATCACTGTGTCTCGTCCTCTTCCATTTCAATGTGTTTCCTCCGACGTTCACACCCAGTTCTCCACCTCCTCCTACACCCGGGTTCATTAACTGTTGCTTCACTTTCATACCACAACAGATAACGAGCAACGTGCATTTTTCCACCAGATATTAGATGTATCCTATTGGTCCCGTGTGTGTTATGAAAAACAAAAGAGAACTGTTTTTTTTTTTTCCCCGGGTCGGAAACCGGTTTGACATATGGATCTTATAACAAGAGGGAGGGACAGTGTTGCTGGGAACCCCTCTGCTGGTTGATGACCGGGTCCAGACCAAGACAGGATTTAGCAGGCTTTTGTTAATACGTTCATTGTATCTGAGGTGAGAGTGAAGACACTTGGAGAGGTGCGACGCCTTCCTGTGCGCACAGGCATCGCGCGTCTTCCTGGTGTGAAGGGGCTGCAAGTCGGGTCCAGGAAAGAACAAGTCTGGCTTTTACTTCCAGCTTCATTAATATGACCTTTTTGACAAAATATACTGCTAAATCATTCATGGCATTCTTTCAAACTGTAGCCATGAAATGTATTTTTTCAGCGATAAATTAACATTACTTGACAACATTTTATTTTCCTAAATTAAATCATTACCCAGTCTTAACTTTAGAAGCATTTCCCCCCTTGTTTTAATTATCTGGGGTATTGAGTCACACCAGACAAAAAGCATTTCAGCAACATTATTTTATTTAGAAAATTCAGACAATATACTGGCAAAACATTTCTAAACATCATAAAGTGGTAATTCTGATGGAGGCTACCGGTCCAGTAAACTACAGGCCTTTTTGAAATGCAATAGAAATATTTATATTAATAAGAGGCACTGTCAAACTTCTAAAAGAGCTTTTCTCCTCATACAAATATATACACAGTGTTGCTGACAAAAGAAGTGTGAACCATTCGTTTTCTGCCTATAGTTCAGTTATAAATGTGTTGAGAGGGAGGCTTTCTTTAGATGTAACAAAAAGTCACAGCAGAGGACTTAAAGACAGGGGGTTCACTACTGGGAAAATGAAGGAGTACTTTCAGGAGGCCCCCAGCTTAAGGATGCCTCTGATGACATAAAGAACAACTCCACCCTTTAACAGCAATACAGTATTTTTTTTCTGTGATATCCAAAGCACTTAGAATGTCTATTTCTACTTCACTAAGTGATGTCCTACATTTCCCAGAATGCCAATGGAAACCCATAAAATTGCTGCATTCATTTGTAAAGAGAATAGCCACAGTCATGGTCCCTTCTCCAGTGTAAGAAGATCTGTGGTTGTGCTCCGTTTTACTCAGCTGAGGCTACTGTCAGAACAGTAGCTGGTTTCTCTTGTCTCTTATAGAACAAATTAAACAAACAAACAAATAATTACTGCACTTGGGTGCAATGTGGCCAGTTATCTACAGGGGTAACTGAGTCCAGTCATGCAAAGTACACCACCAAAAATGGCTAGTTTTAAAAGTGTTCATAGGGTGTATGTAGGGTGGAGTTTTCCCTAATATATATTCAGTCAGTGGCCCAGTGTTACATCTGCCTCAATGGATCCCAAATGTATCCCATCCAGCCCTCTACCAGGGTCTCCACATAGGCTGAGGATAGGTCACGGAAGGCACGCTCAGAGCCTCTCTGTTCTCCACAGGCTCTGTGGAGCTCTGGTTGTGCTCGCTGTCGGTATCATCCAGGTCAGAGCACAGGTCCTCACTGGACGTGATGGACAGGGCCGGGGAGAGGGCCAAGGACAGGCCGCTCGATAGACTCCTGCCTCCCGGGGAAGCCAGAGGCGTGCAGAACGCCTCATTGCCTCCATGCCAAGTGCTGCCATTGCTCCCAGAAGTGTCTGTGATTAGATCCATCAGCATGTCCTGGAGCCGGTCCCCGTTCAGGGGCATACACTCCAGTAGGTGGTTGAGGAGCTCGGCCGCCACCGTGGCATCGATGCCAGGACAGGTGGACACAAACATGTGGACCTCGTGCATGCACTGGATGTAGCCAGCTGTAAACCTCTCACTGGCTTCTTGGTTGAATGTGTCGGTTTCTGTGGGAAGAGAGAGAAACCTTATTGCACGTGTACATTTTGAATGCAGCACATTTTGTCATGGAGTATTTTTCAGTTGTGCTGTTGTCTTGTCACTTTGCCAAAGTGTGAGCTCTCGATGCTTCTTCCACCCTGTTCTCACTAAAGTTATTAGCATTTTAAATTATCCTTATTATCTTTCTAGTGATTGTACTTAGTAATACGTGTATGAGATATTTACCACTGGTTATCCAATACACAAAATTAGTTCTCACTTGGTCATAGCTCTCTTAATTTCCACTTGAAGGCCAATCATGCATTCCCTGATTAATTTTTTATTCGAATGTTCTCCTTAACCTGGATGATCCAACATGTTCCGAGTAATGAGGTTTAGAGCACTTTTAACATGACAAGATCAGACTGAATATCACCTGGGATTTTGGGCTCATTTCAAAATATCTGCACTTGATCAATTGGCCTGCTAAAAGTTACTGTGCCACCTGATTGTACCGTGTAATTATCATGCACAAGACAGATCACAGTGGAGTCAAAACGAATGTCTTTTTTTCTTAGATTATTACTCCTGGGTCCACACCTTGAGCTCGGTTCTTCAGGATGTCCTCCACCTTTTTCACCGTAAACTCGAGCACCTCTGCATTCTCCATCTTGGAATGAAACTGTGGAAACAACCAGTGGAGCCCACATTACAAACTAAATCTAAATCTTATCACAGGAACAGGTGGACTCAGGTGCAGTGTGCGCTCCGTACTCACGTCTGTGTCTGCCAGTAAAGTCCGCAGCTCCTGCAAACTCTCATTGATACGAGCTCGCCTCTTCTTCTCCACCAGAGGTTTTCTAGACTGCAGAAATACAAAAATCACACTTCAGTAAGTAAGAAACTTCAGTAACACAATCCCTACAGTTGTCGATACATCGGTAAGTGGATAGTGTGCGAAATTGTCAGTACGTTGCAACTATATGTGGGATGTAACCTATTTAACTATTACATTTCCTCTTGAACTCTTTGCATAAAACGTCGCACTTTGCAGTGATGCCAAATGCCTTACGAACTGATGCAGGATAAAACCGGTGTGACAAGTGCGCCATTTAAATACGCCCAGAGAGTGCCTGTTATCCCCTCCGTATACCTTTCTGTCCGCTTTCTGAATTCCATAGTAGGACTCATCTTCTTCCATCCCAAGTCCGCTGTTGCTGGACCGAGCCGAGGGAGCCATGTATGTAGTTCGGCGCTGCTGTGGCTTCTCCCTCTGCTGCTGTTTCCTCCTCGCGAAGGACAGCTGGCAAAGGGTCCAAGTTACAGGAAGAAAAAAATCGATAAACAAGCAGGCGAGGCGCTCCTTGTTTATTGTGCAATCCAAATGAGAAGTGCTGCGGGCGTTGAGTGGCTGTTGTTAGTATTTATAGGGGCTTATTAACATATGAATAGGAGCTGAGCTGCTCTCGCCGGGGAACAACAGAGCGCACACGGCCAGAGCCAATGAGCGCCCACTCCCTTTGTCTCCGGTCAGCTCTGGTCTGTGCCTTGAGGAGCTGCGAGGCTTTAATCAGACAGTTTATAGTGTTAGGGGACCGACCACTCTGATTTTCCTCTCTGTTGCTGCTAATCCATGTGCGAACGTCTATTCAGCTTTATTCTCATGAAGAAGCAGTGTTCGAGAGATACCTCCACTTGAAAAGTTTAATAAAACTCATATAATTGTTAGATGTAGCCTGGAAAATATATGTTTATTTAGAAGTGAGTTTTGGTAGACTTTTGTGTTAAAACATATCGTTTAGTGGCCTCATTATCCAAAGTAGGACTTTATATTTGTGGCATAATTGTAACCTAGTTGTAGATTCTTGTTATGTGACCTTTTAGCATTTTTAACTGCAGAATCTCTCGACATAAGAATCTGTTTTCTGCCCTACCCATTCTTCTCTCTGTCTGCTTTTGTGTCCGAGCCTCAGCAGATTTACCCCACTGTTTGATGGATGTAACGCGATGCCTTCAGTTGGCAGCTGCTGCTGGCGGCCCCTCGGCCCAAATTGAATCAGCCGAGGAATTAAGGGCCCTTGTCCAAAGAAAACGACAGGTGTTGGCCTGCACCTCGTTTGTTCTCCCCGTTGTTTGGTGACTTTGGATTTGTATGCAACTACATAATCACGTTGGCTGCCCTGCTGCTAGACACTTTAAAATATATGGCTGTTTTTGCTGATAATGCCCCATTTATGTTACACTGCTTTATATCTTTATTGTAAGGTGCTGTGTGTAAACTATGAACATCCAAAATGTCATAATTTGACTCATATGAATCATAATTTAAACAACATTCGAACTGTTGAGAGTCTGGTGATGCATAATCATGGGATTTTCTGAAAGTGATATTTTAGTCCTTTATGCACAGTGTCTGTATCTAATAACAGCCCTCAGTCATCTGCCCTAACATGTTTTGTACAGGGTATTATAATGCAAATTATCCTCAGAGAAGTTCTGTGTGGTCAAATAAGGCCCACGGCTACATCTGTGCCACCTCTCAGGTAAATGCAATTGTGTTTTAAAGAGTTTTTACGCACGGTGTTTCCGCATTGCGCAGCATTTTCACAAAAACAACCACCATGCCCATAAAGAAGGAGGAGATTCAGGTCTTTGAGTGGCGAGGTTTTGGCAAGTCGCCACCCCCATATCACTCTTCCACATCTTTAATGGTGTGGTCTGTGAGAGCAGCTGTCTGTGCTCGCTTTTGTTGGTGAGTTCCGCTGAGGGACCAGGCGTCCTCGCCTCTCCTTCAGACCCGCTGCTTGGCTCCATGTGGCGGCCAGTCATAACGGGAATAATAGCAGGAGAATGGACCATATGCACGTTTCTAGTTTTGAAACCCCGATGATAAACTGCATTTTATAAAAATGCTAATATCGCAGAGGAGTCGCTTTGAGCATTACATTGCCAGTTACATCCTGCTCCAACAAAACCGTCTTTGATGCATTAAAAGGCTACAAAACTTTTCCTTTGAACTTTTATGCGCCTCTTATCTGATTATGCAAATACTTTTTAATTTGAATATCCCGCCAGAGACTGAAACTAATAATGTACATCAGTGTCAGCCTAGATATTTTTAACATATTCAGAAAAGCTCATATGAAAGTATTACCTTCTAAAGTTGCTGAAGCTCAGCTGTTAGTTAGCAAATAGGTGTTTCTGGCTGCCTGACAAATCTAAACCCAATTGTCCATTTTTCATGGAAGACATGTTTACATGTGGCAGTAGGAAAAATGGATTGAGGATAGATTTCATTTGTCTGCTATGGTTACAGAGTCTCCATTTTAGCCATTATAAAATGAGCCAAAATAAGATAAATGGGTGCACTGGGTTGCAGAATTAAATTCTGTTTTACTGTGTTGATCCAAGTAGCCCATTTTCATCTCATGGCCTTATCCATTTGACTTGAAATATATATATATAATATTGATTAATTCAACTTGAATAATGTTAATGAACTCCAAAAAGCTTAGTCTGTAAGATACTGTTTTTAATTTTTGTCAATCTGTCGATGGTAAAAAATCCTGACTGTATATCACTGTTATAATAAACCTTTAAACCCACCTCATTTGCCAGTTATATTTCCACATATAGACTATATGTTTGTATGATTATATTACTAAATAAATAGGCCCAAATCTAAAAAGCCAAAGGTTTGGGACTCCTTGTGAGACCAGCTGTTGTGTCCTTCTACACTGCATGGCCACAATAGCAGAAATGTCAAAACATAGATGATAAGAGCAGGCGTGCATGAACATGATCATTCATAAAGCTGAATAAAATCTCGAGTATAAAATAGGCTTTATTGTTATTAATGTTTAGGTTGATTATACAGCAGTAAAGAAAGAGATAAAAATCTATGGAATGGCAAGCTAGAGGTCTAAGCAAAATCCTGCCTTATAATATCAAATAAATAATGTTAATGTTAATACAATAAATACATGAAAGATTAATAAAAAAGCCTTCTATAATGCAGGCTACAAGAAGTCGACTTCTGAAGGGAAGTACTGAGAAAAGGTCTGTATAAGATGATTATAGCATACCTACAATAATAATTACTGGAACAAAACTGCCCCACATGTCTTCTGAGCAGCATATCTATAAGATACATAACAGAGGATGGCCTAACAAAATGGAGAACTAATCACCAGGGCCTCCACATCTCCAGCATCCCCACACGGGAGCTGTGGACTTCGGCTCTCTCCTGACGTCCAGCCACATGGCAGGTGGGCCCCTCTCTCTGGAGCTGCCTCCCACGCAGTGGTTCACCTCTCAGGGGTGTGCAAGGGTTACCCTGGCTGGCTGGAGGAGGGACATCATGTCTGGGTGTGGGCTGGGTGAGGGGACGCTCATTGGTGGACTGGGGCAGGGACTTAAGGAGGTGGTTGAGCAGACGAGAACCCAGCGTTTTGTCCATCCAGTCACAGGTGAGGAGCATGTTGTGAACCTCATGCATGCACTGGATGTACCCTGTGCTGTACTTTTGCTGGGCCTCCAAGCCTAATGTGGGGTCTGAAGGGATTAAAGAGAAGAGACATTATAGCAACCCCTGGTGGTGGCAGCAGCACAACATGCATGCAACAGCAAACCCTTTATATACGGTAGATCAGCAGAACAGGCTACAAAACCTTTCACAGCTGACCAACAAAATTATATTCACCTCTAAATCAACATGTCCAGAAGACAACACTCCTCTAGCCATCATTTTAAATACATTTACGCTTGAGCGATGCACAGCACCTAATGTCTGTACTGGTGCTGCCCTCTGTTGCATAATGTCAACCAGGATACGCTATTTAAGTTTATTACACTCATAAGGGTCCACATTAATATGGGACCACACTGAGTAAGATAACAACCAGAGTTACAGTGGTCACTAAAAACTGTAAAGGCAAATGTGGCCTTGGCAAATGGAAAGACAAGTGCACAGAGCCTCGTTCCTACCGTTAAGTTTATTGCTCTGGATATTCTGTAGATGCTTTACTGTCATCTCGAGGATATCGGCTTTCTCCAGTTTGGATTGCTGTTAAGAGATGAGCAGCCTTAAAGTTAACGATTCAGCTTCAATTGTTGACCTGTAGATCAGAGGAGTCACGTGAAGAAATACTCACATCAAGTCTGAATGCTCCGATAACAGTTTCTTTTAGCTGATCCAAACAATTGTTTATCCTCTCCCGCCGTTTTCTCTCAATGAGCGGTTTTCTCAGCTGTTTAGGTAAAGAAATACTGCTCGGTTAAAAGCAATCAGGGCTGCGAGGCAACATGTTGGAGAGCAGAGAATAAAGTGTGATCCTAAAAGAGAATTGTATCTATTATATCCAGGTGTAAAATACCTTTCTCTCCTCCTTGGCACTGGGATGTTTCCCTATGTTGTGCGCCACAGTCGAAGCAGTCATGTTTTCCCTTCGCTGTATGTGCGCTTCTGTTCGTCTTCCTCGGAATCTCGGCGCGTCTCTAGGCCCCTCGGCGCGGCACAGCCCTCTTATTTATAAGGCTCAATTAGCATGTGAATGTCCCAAATCTTTGGCTGTGGGATTTTCCCACACATGGGGTCCCATCAGTCAAGACTGGCAGGTCACTGGCTTCATTCAATAGCTAACCGAGAGACCCGGCCTAGAAAAAGAAAATACTCACAAGCGACAGATGTCCAGCCTGAAACCATGCACCACCCCCGATCTCCACCCTCCACCCAACAAAAACAGCAGTTTTCTCTTCTCCCAGGGATGAACAAGAGTGTGCAGTCACCGTGCTTTACTCCGGGGAGCCTCTTGTCCATTCAGGAGCACTTACACAACATGCAAAAAGGCCAAACCTATTCCCTCAAAGCTCAGAGGAAGACACAATGTGGTGACAAATCACCTGAGAATACACCTGCCCATACTAGGTTGACAGGAATTAGTTATTACTTCAGACCTCTAAATAGTCAAAAAGTCCAATCCTAAACATAAGCATTACTTAACAGCTGGCTAAGATAGAAAGTCAGACTAATAACTGACTGTAATAAATAACAACTCATATTCTTTTTGAAAGTTAGGACTTCCAACACGTCTGCTGTGTGTGTGTGTGTGTGTTGGGGACCTTGCTGCATTTTTTCCTGCTTTGATCACACTGCGTTTTCAGTTGTCAGACATCTGCTGTTAACTTATCGAGCAGATGTCAAGTTGACCACATGCCCACCACCCCCTCCACCCCAGCTTTGGGGTCCCTTAAAGCGGGGCCCCTGGTTTAGAGCCACGCGACTGCCAGGCGAATGCCG